TTAAACAAACAACATCAGAGCTCTCTGTCCAGAAGAGTGCAGTGCAAGGAACAGGGAAGATACTGTGCAGAACCCTCAAACTCCCAGGCCTCTGGTAAAGGATCCGAGACTGAGGAAGACACATACCATCCATAGGGGTGAGAGGGGATTTTTTTTTAAGAATATATATATATACTTGAAACACGTCTGTTTCAAGTTTGAAACTCCTGTTCTGGTTTCAGAACCTGTTGTTTCAATCTTAGCAGAAGTGTCCTGACCATACCAGAAGTATTTTAAGCACATTTAGAGTTGTTTTGAGCTCAGTATGATCAGTGTCACAGCACTTCTGGTGAAATTAGAACAGCTGTTTTAGTCTTGAAACATGGCATTTCAAGCTCAATTTTTTTTAAATTTGATTTTGCACACCACTATATGACAAGATGTATTGAAAGTACTATTACATATGCATCTGTACAAATATCATTTTGGCAATGCCAAAACAAGCTTGTATTTCATTTAATAAAACACTTTTTTCCATTATTACTTTACAATTGTTTAGAGCAGCATGGTTTATAAAAAATAAAAACAATGTTCAGAAAAGTTAAAAAGTTAAAAACCCATACCCATATATTGCTTGGTCCTCAGGACTCGGCTGAAGAAATATTCTTGATACTGGTTTTGGATGTACAACTGTATAGATATAGATATATAAAACAAATTCAGAATTAGCTTCTACTTGCTCCTAGTAAATATAGCGTCTTTGCTCCTAGTAAATATAGAATGTCAAGATAACATACACTAGGGCTAGAATTTTATTTGCCAAGTATACAATGCCACAAAATAGAATACTTTCTCTATTTGCAGTAATTTCCAAAGTTGCAGCAAAAACAGAACCCTATAGCACTTCCAGACAAACAAAACTTATGCTATCCATCCAATGTTCTTGTTGAACAACATCTAATGTGGTATGCCTTAATACCTCAAAGGAAATTTCAAAAATCTATTATATTCTAGCATAAAGCATTATATGAATTGGTTGGCATACTAAATTAATGCATTTTATTAACCACAGTTTATTGATAAAACACAATTGGCTAGATTTACAGAACATACTAAGGCAAAACCAAATAATCTATATTTTGGCTTAACATAATGTGTGTACCTGGTTAATATTAATTTTATTAGTTCTTTTGCTTTAATTCTAACTCTTTTCCTCCATTTACTGACCATTTCTTCAATAAATTTCCAGCATGTGTCACCAAATATGCTAAACCATAATTTATTAACCATGTTTTGTTAGATAAGCCATCATCGACTGGGCACTCAGCATGTTACTCCATAAATTATATAATATATTAAGTTATTAAATTATCTCCAATTGTTGCTGCCCACAACAGTATGTTCGGGCAGAGTGGGTGTGTTTCAGGTCCCCTCAATTAAATATTGTCATCTTGTGGGACTGAGGAAGCATGCCTTCTCTGTCACTGCCCCTGCCCTCTAGAACAGCATCCCCCCAGAGATATGTAGGGTGCCAACTCTCCTTGGGTTCTTGAAGACCCTTAAGACTTGGCTTTGTTCCTAGGCCTGGAGTTAGTGTTGTGGAGCCCCTATTTTTTTTTTTAATTGTCATGGCTGTTTTTTGTCTGGGCTCTCGTGTTTTTAACTGTTTTAATTGTATATTTGGAAGTTGTAAGCCACCTGGAGCCTTTTGGAGTGGGCGGTCATAGATAATAATAGTAACAACAACAATAGAAAAAAATACAATAAAATGATCTGATTGGTTGTGGCTTATTGTGTTGAAGAAATCCAACTTGTGAGAGTAGCTTAGAGGAATTGCCTCTTGAAGATTTGCCTGAAGCAGGAGGAAAGCGGACTCTTATTATTCAGTCCTGTGAATCACTGACCAAGTTGTCAACTACATGAATAGAAACTGGGCTGCCTTGTTACTGAATCCAAAGGGTCTCAGAGGAGAGTAGCACTGACCTGGAGGATCATCTTGGTACTTCACTTGACTGTTTGTCTCTGGTATTAAAGCAGCTGTGGAATCAACAGTTGATCGAAAAGGGGTGGGCATTGCTCCCATTTTGGAAAGTCTACTGGTTGGGTCTTCTTTTGCACTTAATATAAAAACCACACAGTTAAGAGCAAATCAGAGATTTTGTGACATAACAAAACATAAATGACAATACAGTATGCTTCTCACCTCAATTTCTCCTTTAGCTTTTCATTTGAAGAATGGCACTCTACATCTGAGTGATGCAGTCTTCTATCATCCTGAGGTGAGCAAGATCGGTTTGACTCTATTTCTGAAATATCTGTTGGGAGAACATAATGCAGAGTCTTGAAAAGTTACTGTCTGTAATTTTAATGTCTGTTGATGTATACACATAATAAAAAGCTTTCTTCTTTTAAACACTGACAACAAAAATGCTTCCTGAAATTGAACAAAGCTGATCTACAAGGCACTCCTACTAAACCCTCCAGGCAGCAAATTAAACTACTTTAGCTTTGCTTACCAAACAGATCTAAGCTTAGGATAGGGATTTCTTAGCTTTTCTTTGAAGGATGTAATTCAACAAGCCTTGTTCTGATCAAGCCTTTGAAAAAATGGCAGCATCAGATCATTTTGGCAATCCTTAAGGCTGGCATAAAAATTACCACCAGTCACTTCAAAGCCACTGTGGTATGGAATGGAAAGAGATATGGAAATAGCCAGATTGTCACTTCTTATTGTGTAGTTATCTTGGAAGTCACTTGAGCAGCAAGGTAGCATTCTTGTTCTTGAAGCCCTTAGGCCAGAATAGATACCAATCTCTTGACAGTTCTGGCACATATCCAAAGGCAGGCAGAGGAAGTAAGGTCCTTTCAAGTATGCACAATCCATGTATAAATGCCACACATGGCCTCTAGCACTGTTTTGGCCCAGAGATCAGGATTAGGGGGAAAGATCTATGCTTTAAACTTTATAGCAGTCACCTGGCACCTTAAGGCACTTATTTTCCTTTAAACTTTAAGGCATTCCTTTTGCCTTAAAGC